TTATTATTATCCCGATACGGGTAATTTAATGTCGTTACTGTATCATGACAAATTTTCCGACAATTTTAAAACACCCTCAAATAAAGATTGAAATCAGAATTTATTAAATGAAAAGGAATTCATACTGAAAAACGGAAGAGTTTAGCTATTTTAATCAATAATTACTGTTTTCCTTTCAGCGTTACCTTCAAATGAAAAGGGTCAGTAAAGTATGATTGAGAGTCGAAGAAGTTGGCAATGTGGAGAACAAGGGGGATCTTGATATTCAAGGTTTTCCTAGAGATTGTGTTGATTTATTAGAACCTGGTGATCCTAAAGTGATTGGTGATCCTTGTGCTCATGATGATTGTAAAGATTTTGGAGACTGCAACATTCCGGATGATTCAAAAAATCTTGATGTTTTGAATGCATTAGAGAACGAAAGGGATCTTGGCGTTCAAGATTTTCCTAGAGATTGCGTTGATTTATCTGGCCTTAGTGACCCTAAAGTGATTGGTGATCCTTGTGCTCATGATGGTTGTAAAAATTTTGGTGACTGCAGCATTCCGGAGGATTTAAAAAATGATGTTTTGAATGATTCAAGTGATCGGAAGTTTTCCGGTTATCCACACAGTTTTGCTGATTCCAGAGAGTTAAGTGTTCCTAATAAACCCGAGAATTTCCTTCCCCGAGACTGGATGATGCTAAAGATTTCAAAAAAAGATGACGATCTTAAAGATTGCATTGATACAAGTGGTGCCACTTATATCAAGGATCCTGAAAATGTGGAAGATTTATTTAATTCGTATGGCACAAGTGATTTTACGAATTGTAATGATTATACTGGCCTAGATGATAACATTGCTTTGGTTCAGATGACTATTTTAAGTGGTTCAGAAATCTTTAAAAATCCTGATGTTCATGACGATCCAGGTGAGTCAAAATATTCTAAAGATATTGACATTTATCAAAGTCCAACAGATTTTGCTAATTTATCCACCCCAAAAAATCCTAAAATAATTGATGAATCTTGTGCTCGAGATAATTGTGAGAATTTAGATGATCACAACATTCCAGACAATGGGAAAAATCCTGATGTTTTGAATGATTGTCAAGTTTCCGGAGATCCTCACGGCGCTGTTGATAATGAAATGTCTGGTGATCCTAATGATCCAGAGAATTTCCTTTCTTGGGTGAGGATGATGCTGAAGATTGCAAATGATGGAGACGATTTCAAAGATTATTCTGATCCTAATAGTGACTCAGATTTAAATTGTTATGAAAATGAAAAACGTATATTTAATCCTAATAGCTCAAAGGATAATTCAAAATATCGCGATTATAGTGGTCCAGAGGATAACCTCGCTTGGGTTCAAAAAATGCTAGCCATTTTAAATGGTTCAGAAAGTTTTAAGAATACTGATGACCAAAACAATCCTTATGATATTAAACATCCTGATGAAATTAACGATAGTTCTACAGATTGTGTTAATTTATCCGGCCTAGGTGATTTTAAAGGAATCGGTGAACCTTGCACTCAGGATAATCTTGATGATCACATTGTTTCAAGTGGTTTGAGAAATCCTAGTTTTCTGAATAATAATGTCTCATCTAATCCTCAGAGTGATGCTGATTCCGAGGAGTTAAGCGATCCAAATAAGCCTGAGAATTTCCTTTCTTGGGTCCAAATGATGCGGAAGATCGCAAACGATGGAGACGATTCTAACACTTATGTTGATTCAAGCAGTGTCATTGATAGTAATGATCCTAGAAATTTGAAAGATTTATTCAACCATAATGGCACAAATGATGATTCAAATTATAGCGACCATAGTGGTCCAGAGGATAACCTCGCGTGGGTTCAAATGATTTTAAAGATTCTAAATGGTACAGATGATTCACATCATTCCTAAATCGTACGAATGATGTTAAGGACTTTTGAAAAGTATTGACGATCCAAATAACTTTCAAATGGTACAGATGATCGAAATGACTTTATTTGGTATACATTATTCAAATGACTTTAAAATGGTACATATGACATATGATCCAAAAGACTTTATTTGGTATACATGATTCTGATGACTTTTAAATGGTACAGATGATCCAAATGACATTTATTTGGTATACATGATTCTGATGACTTATAAATGATATACATGATCCAAATTACTTTATTTGGTATAGATGATTGATATGATTTATTTGATATAGATGATCCAAAAAACTTTTATTTGGTATAAATGATTGATATGACTTATTTAATATAGATGATCCAAAAGACTGTTATTTGGTACACATGATTCGAATACCTTTTAAAAAGTATATTTGAAAAAAAAATTAAAAAATAATGATAAAAAAATAATAAAATAAAATAAAAATAATAATAAATTTTATTTTATTTTCTCTAAATAATCACAAATACGTAGTTAAATTTTTCTGAAAACTTGCCACATAGTAAGGAAACAAGAAATGTTATATAAAAAGCTGTAAAATTAGGGAAACTAATGAAATCATCATTTACGAAAGTATTTGTAAGCAAAACAAAAAGTTAAATATCCCAAAGCCCGATATAACAAAACTTAAACACCCAGACCAATTTTCCCTATACCAAACTTATAATTACATAGTGACGTGTAATATATGTAGCTTTTCTTTTTTAATTTATATACTGAAAGCAAATACGTCATTTTCAATCAATATACAAGTTGTTCTGCAATGAGCACTGTTATTATTTGTATTAATAAAAGCATTAAAACTTCATTCGTTTTCATAAAATATCTTTGGTAAAGGATAAGGGTAGAAATTCTATTTTAGGACTTCAAGGCTAAAAACATGCCAATGAATAATAATTAGATTTATACTTCAAAAGAGAAGTTATTTTAAGATCTTTCACTTCCATATAAGGAAAGATTAAACGATTTGCTATGAGTAATAAATAAATTGAAGAGGCGTAAGAATACAGAAAAAGACATATGACTGGGCCTCTTTACAACTAAAAATCATCCTATAAAATGCAGGAGCAATGTTTTTGCGTGACTTTTTGGTGTAAAATGTTTACAAACTAAACTCCGTCGGATCTGACTGGAACTTTGTCCCCCCTCTCCAGCCGGGAGAGCGGGGATGTGACTTCGGCTTCACGATCTATTTAGTAAATAAAATCTTGTGCACAATATGTTCTCATTATTCCTGCTTTCTTGACAAATAAATCCACCAAAATATAGGGGTTGTTGCCCTTATATTAGANGGCTGCTCTTTCGAGCACCTCTTGTAAACTGTTGATAAATTTTTATTTTCTTTTGTCTTTACTTGTCTTTTCAGTTTCCTCTGATTCATACTGCTTTACAAGCTAGTGCTTTAATGTGCCATTACCGCACACACATTCCTATCCGAAATATGCTTATTTATTTTCACTCTACCTACCTTTACATTTTTGACATACATTTCAGGACCACCCTGTATATATATAATGTGTGTGTGTGTGTTGTTGTTGTTAGAAACGCCTCCAAGTTTCATTGGACAATCAAATACATTTGATATTTTCAGTCCCGCTTGTGTTTCGTTACTTGTGATATTGTGGGCCGTGAAGGGAGAGTCACGCTATCATATCTGTATGAACACGGTCCTGAAGGATTTACAAGGACGCTATACCGTGGTTGAAACTTTTCATTATGAATTTTCTTTCACTCCCATAATTAATTTAAAATTTAAAGTATAGAAAAAGTTAATTCAGACAAACCTATAGAGTAAGCCATGAAGTTCCCATTGCTGAAAAAGAAATTTCGAAATCTTAAAACGCGACCAAATTATTGGAAGAAAATTCCGTCATTACGTAATTCTAAGTCATCTTCGCATAAATTTTTTTTTATTTTGATATTTTAAAAATTTCTTTGCGATATTTGAAACTTCATGGATTACTCTATATTTGCCTGAACCCACTTTCTTCGATACTAAAAAATTTTAAATTAATTACGGGAGTGAGAGGGAATTGGCGATGAAAAAGTTTCACCCACGCAAGGGTATTATAATTCACCAAAGGAAGACGACATTTGTGATTTCGGATTGTAATGATAGTATATATTTACATTAACTTCAATGTAGCGAAGCAAAATATATGAACGAGTGATAGTATCAACAAGAAAATTGTATGAGCATTTGGTATATTTTCTCCGAATTAGAATAAAGTTCGAACTGATTTTAAGGAAGTGTTAAAAATTCAGTTATATTCCTCACACAACGAATATGCAAACGTTTTGGAATATACGCAGATTCCAACGCAGAACTCCTAGTTTTCCAAATTATTTAAACTTAATTATTTAAAGTAAAATATTAAAGCAGCATAAATAACAACTATGGTAAGCTTAATTTGTTTAACACTATCAATACTTGTAACTCCCTAGACGATTATCAGGCTTCGTATATTTGTTAAAATTGGTTCCGCATAACTTTCAGTTGAGTTAATAACCCTTTATTGCATCACTAATTACAATCAATATGACTAATTAACCCCTGATGACTCCGATAATTATAAAATATCGAAATGAAACTTTTTTACTTTTTTTATCTATCTCATAAAGAACACATGTTCCAAATTTTGGCTTTCTAACTTCATTGGAAGTTAGAGAATCAACGATTATGAGTCAGTGCTTTGCCTTTTATATATGCAGATTAAAAAAACAAATTACATTATTAACAATTTCTTTTGTTATTTACCAAACCTTTATTAACGTAAAGTTAATAAAAGTTAACATTGTTAAAATTGGTCAAAAATTTTTCTAGTTTTGAGCTAATAAATACGGTACTTTTGTGCATTTACGATATAGCTACCTCAGGTTATAGCGCTCGTTTTCGCCCAGACCACGAGGGACGCTGTATTGTATATCAACTCTAAACACACATTCAACCCTGAATTGATTACTTTTTTTTAATACAGTAGTAAAATAAGTGTAACGTGAAATAATACACATTAAATCCAACAATACACAAAAGAAATTATGAAATTCTTTTGCTTAAAAAATCTCTCAGCTTTCTTTACAATATTTTAATTTAATAAGTCGTTTTATTGTGGAATAACAACTTAAAAAACAATAACATCAGTCGACAAGTATACAAAGTAGATAACAATATTGCTGATGCTAAATGTAGGAAAAAATGTTTTATCATTATTCCTGTTACAGCAGTCTGTATACTGGAAAAGTAACCTATGGCAACCATTACTTCGTAATGCTTGAGAACAAAGTTCATAAAAATCGAGTAAATTTAGAGTTATGGCAGCCATTGCATTAAGGTACTGGATAATGCTCTAGAACTGTGGTATAGTTCATTGGTCGTCGATTCTGTCCAAAGAGAAAGGCATATGGTACATTTACATTGAAGTAGACTGTCTATAGGCAGCTGCATCCAACGGCGACCATTACTTCGTAATGCTTGAGAAAAACGTTCATGGAAAGAGTAAATTTGGAGATGGAAGTTATACCAGCCATTGCAGCAAGTTACTCAACAATAGTCTAGAACTGTGGTATAGTTTATTGGTCGTCGATTCTGTCCAAAGAGAAACGCACATGCTACATTTACATTGAAGTAGACTGTCTACAGGCAGCTGCATCCAACGGTGACCATTACTTCGTAATGCTTGAGAAAAACGTTCATGAAAAGAGTAAATTTGGAGATGGAAGTTATACCAGCCATTGCAGCAAGTTACTCAACAATAGTCTAGAACTATGGTATAGTTTATTGGTCGTCGATTATATCCAAAGAGAAACGATTATGCTACATTTACATGGAAGTATTCTGTCTATTGGCATCCGCATCCAACAGCGACCATTTCTTCGTATTGCTTGAGCACAACGTTCATCTGTTCATCGAAATAGAGTAAACTGAGCGAATGCAGATCGGTTGGAACGCAGCAAGGTGCATCGATCCCAGGCATAAGACCCAATTCGTGAACAATGCTCTGAACCGTTGCATGATTTGTTGGTCTTTGATTTTGGCCGAGGGGAAAAGCACACGCTCCAGAACACACATATGCGTCATAATATTTTGGGGAAATAATCCACGACGACCAGCCTAGTTTTTCAAAGTCGACTCGTAGTTCACGTCTGGCACAAAGTTCTTTATCGTTTGCGTTTGTCGACCTAGTGTTTCTCGAACTTATTTCATTAGAAGTCGATGGCTCGAAAATATGTTCTCTTTCTGCCAATGAAGGAACAGATGGCAATCCTAGGAAGATATTACAAAAGAAAAAAACGTATAAACTGAATGTGCTTTATACGTAGTTTAAAACAATATAAAATCGCTTTTCTTATCGAATGTAAAAGTGGTAGACAAATTTATTGCATTCGAAACAATTTTACGAATATGCAGCAGCCAGTAAATCTTTTCAAACTAAAGCTAATATATCTAGATGTATAATTTAGAAGAGCCCAATGAAGCATCCGTCACTGTTTTGTACTCCCTCTGTCCGAAATTAGCAGTTACATTTTAATACTTTTGCACTGATTACTGGTACAAAGGATTTTATGATTTCGCTTGAACATTTTACGGAAATTTCAGGCTACTATGCTATCAATCAACGACATTTGCTTACTAAGCATTACCCTTTTTCCTCCTTAAATCGGATGTAAGTTAGTTTAAAACGCTCTTAAGCCATGCCCCATTTAGCAAGGACTTTTTCACCAGTAATCGCATTAAATTATATTCTAATATACTGCATTATAGTACTGACAGTAGTAGTATAATTTTACTGGTGTCGATTTACTAAACTGCTTCGGAAGTTGCTTATGACTCCACCTCCTTAACATGTGAAGAGAATACTTGATAAGTAAATGTTGGTGATTGACAGCATAGCTCTCTGAAATCTCCAAAAAATGTTCAAGCGAAATGATATAATCATCAGTATCAATAATCAGTACAAAAATATTTAAATGTGGCAACTCATTCGGGACAGAGTGAGTAGTTATTTTCTTTTTTTTTCACTTAAACTATAAACTACTCACTTTTATTAATAATTTTTCAAGAATGGAAAAACTGAATCGAACCTCATTACTTGCAGATTATTTAACCCACTATGAGGGACGTTTTATTTGCAGGAATTAAAATAAGTATTAAAACCTATGCGGCATAATAATTAAATGTCTTATGAAATGCTACAGGCGATGTAAAGTGTCTATAAAAATATCAAATAATTATTAATTCATAAAAAAATTTAACTGAATTTGTTAAATAAATTGAGTTTTTATCAGTAAATTCAGGTTTTCCGTAAGCCTTACAAAAGTTTAAAAGTGGTGATAAATTTTCCTTAAATCTCATTAGAATTTCTTTTTTTGTTAAAATACCATTTTAGCATTTAAATGCTTGATCAACAAAGAATTTTTGTTACACCACTGTAAATTGTTTAAAAAAAACAATATATAGCGGTGTTCACAATGTATACACCGATGATCCATAACATTATGACCACCCTTCATCTATAACAATGGGCTCGTCCAGGTTTTCATGGTTTCTCGATCAGGAACAATGGACTCAGGCACATTAGAACCCATAATCCTCATAGAACAATCCTTGACGTCTATAAGCTACTTGAACATAGTTGCAGACCAGGTTCACCCATTCAAGGCAACAGTTTTTCCTGGGAGGATGGTGTTTACCAGCAGGATAATTCACCATGTCATAAGGGTCGAATCATCATGGATTGGTTCGAGGAACATTCCAGTGACTTTCAAGTCATGTCTTGGCACCCAAATTCACCTGACCTTAATCCAATACAGCATTTGTGGTCCTACTTGGAAAACCAAATTCGTGCTGCCACGCTACCCCCTCGCAATGTGAGGGAATTGCAGGACCAGTTGGTGAGCGCTTGGTACCAGATACCTCAGACTACCTATCAGCACCTTGTGGAATCAATGCCAAGGCGGGTGCTAGCAGTTTTGAGAGCTAAAGGTGGTCCTACATGTTATTAGCAGGGTGGTCATAATGTAATGGCTCTTCAGTGTATATGATTGAGGTTCGTCTTCGTATTATAAGCACTTTTTAAAATTTTTAAGGTCCGCGGGACCCTGGTAACTGAACTATCTGAAGACAAATCTGTTGTTCGCTTTATTTTTACTCATTTATTTATATTCTTATATTTAATGAAGCTTTCTAGCGGTATTTGTCAAAATCCTTGATTCGGTATAATGGCTCAAATTTCCCTTAATAGCCATTTTCCAATAAATAAATTACAAAAAGCACATTTAATTAGGAAATAAAAGTAAACTATATGCATTTTACACATTAATCTAAACACGCAAGATATAATTTATAGATGGAATAGGAGAGAAGAATTTGCAACAACAAAAATATCTTGACTTTTCACTTTCTTTGAGAAAATTTGATTTTTCCTTGACATTTTCTTATAGCTAGTAGATAGAACAAAATATGATTCTCTTTGACATCATGATCTGGTGTTCATCAACAAAATAAATGTTTAAAGATGAAAAAAGGTTGATCAAACCTCATGTTTCAGTTACATTCTTTCATGTATTGTTGATCAAAAATAAATTTTGAAAACAGCTCAAAGATTAGCAAGAAAAATGCTGTATTAAGTGGAATTGAACTTGAATAACATTCTTGATATTTTTCTTGCAATTGATGCATGCGTTTTCTTGTTATTGTAGCATACACATTAATACATATGTATATGATAGCATGTTCCTGATACATATTCCTATATTTCTATATTAAAATTACCAAATATTTATTTTTGATTCATTAAATCAATTATTCTGTAATAAATGTTCCATTAATGCTTTTATAAACATGTTATAGTTAGGGTAGTTACATATGTAATCCATGTTCCTGATGCATATTGTTAGCATGTTCCAGATACATATTCCTATATTTCTATATTAAAATTACCAAATATTTATTTTTGATTCATTAAATCAATTATTCTGTAATAAATGTTCCATTAATGTGTTTATAAACATGTTATAGTTAGGGTAGTTACATATGTAATCCATGTTCCTGATACATATTGTTAGCATGTTCCTGATACATATTCCCATATTTCTATATTAAAATTACCAAATATTCATTTTTGATTCATTAAATCAATTATTCTGTAATAAATGTTCCATTAATGTGTTTATAAACATGTTATAGTTAGGGTAGTTACATATGTAATCCATGTTCCTAATACATATTGTTAGCATGTTCCTGATACATATTCCAATATTTCTATATTAAAATTACCAAATATTTATTTTTGATTCATTAAATCAATTATTCTGTAATAAATGTTCCATTAATGTGTTTATAAACATGTTATAGTTAGGGTAGTTACATATGTAATCCATGTTCCTGATACATATTGTTAGCATGTTCCAGATACATATTACTATATTTCTATTATATTCCATTAATGTGTTTATAAACATGTTATAGTTAGGGTAGTTACATATGTAATCCATGTTCCATATTGTTAGCATGTTCCAGATACATATTCCTATATTTCTATTATGAAATTACCAAATATTTATTTTTGATTCATTAAATCAATTATTTTGTAATAAATGTACCATTAATGTGTTTATTAACATGTTAGAGTTAGGGTAGTTACATATGTAATCCATGTTCCAGACACATATTGTTAGCATGTTCCTGATACATATTCCCATATTTCTATATTAAAATTACCAAATATTCATTTTTGATTCATTAAATCAATTATTCTGTAATAAATGTTCCATTAATGTGTTTATAAACATGTTATAGTTAGGGTAGTTACATATGTAATCCATGTTCCTGATACATATTGTTAGCATGTTCCTGATACATATTCCAATATTTCTATATTAAAATTACCAAATATTTATTTTTGATTCATTAAATCAATTATTTTGTAATAAATGTTCCATTAATGTCTTTATAAACATGTTATAGTCAGGATAGTTGGCAGCAAAAACAAGTAAACACTTACTTGGACTTTTTGACCTTGCTGCAGAAGTTATGAAAGATTTCAGTCTCCTCCTATCCAAGCTGAAAACAATGAGTATCGGTTTGTTGACTGAAACAGATTTTGTTCTTGATATTCGTCCAGACAAATCCAAAGTTTCAATCACAAAACCTGGAAATTTTTGTTTATATATTTGAGACAGAATACAAAATCTGCAAACATTATCTTATAAATTATGCATGTATTTTTATAAGATTTCACTTAAAAAAGTTATATGACTGATTTTTTTTTTTTTTTTACTTTGAAATTTTTTTTTATATATATATAGATATATTACAAGTCAATTTTAACATTACGAGGGCATAAGTGTTGACAAAATTGAATAGAATTCTGCAAGATTTAGTCAATTTTCTACCACTGTCTTTTGCGGAAAACTAAGCTTTTGATATCCTTGTTAATTGCAAAAATATCCTTGCTTGTTGCAAAAATAATTATGCGCTAAACAGAAAAGAATTGGTTTATAATAAACTTACATTGTAATTTTTCCGAAAAAAAAAAACAATTTCTATTGACATATCAAGGTTTTGAGAAACTCTTTGACATAGGAATTCAAATTAACATTAGGTTGATATACAGTGCCAAGGGGAAAAATATTTTTTTGACATAACAAAGTTTTCGAGATATCGAAGTTCTATATATCGAGAGTATACTGTATGCTAAAAATTAATGTATAAATAATTTTGAGTGGTATAAAACAGTAGGGGTTGTCCACCGACTAGTTGGCTGGACGCAATTGAGAGGGACCTAAAGATAATAGGAATAACTAACTGGAAGGCCATGGCACCGAATAGATCAAGATGGCAAAAACTTATTGAGACGGCCTTGGCCTGTCATAAGCTGTAGTGCCCAAGAAGAAGAAGATAAAGATATAACAGTAAACTCTACTTTACCTTGACTTAATGTTGTACTATTTCTCCATTTTTTAACAGTAGAAGTGACTTTAAAAACTTCCCATCCGGGTGAATAAGTACTAATCAAACGGGCCTCTAACAGATTTCTGCTTGAATTTTTAGAAACTTCATAAAGTAAAACCTGAAATAAAAATTTCGTCTTAATTTTAGGCTAATTACAAGTTAGTGAATATACGTAATAGTGAATATTACGGGATTCAATCCGACCAAATCATTTTAATGAAGAGTTTTGAAGAAAAAAAAACAAGTGACTAGTTGTGTACCATCAGCTTTAAACTTTTAAAACTCCAATAAATCAAATGAGGGAAATTCAA